TCAAAAACTCCAGAGATGAGAAACATACCACGAACAGCCTGGGGAATGGATGGATCTTTGCTCCAATCTGAGACCATCATCATGGCACACAAATGAGCTCCAGCAGAATGGCCGCACAAAAACAGATTTGATTTAGGAAACCTGTTAACAACAAACTTCACAGCTGCTTGGATTTCGGTCACCATCTGCTCCAGGTTTGCTTCTGGTGCTAGGTTGTAACCCACAATTGCAGCGATACATCCAGCTTTTATCCAAGCATTGCTTACAAAGCCATACATCTTCCGGCTACCTTCCTGCCAGAATCCACCATGAATAAACAGCAAAACTGGCATGGCACTGTCTACATATCTAACATAATCATCATTCATTGCAGTGGGATAAAATATGTCCATCTTGGCTTTCTTCTCACCATAGGCTATGCTCAGTTCACCATTTAAACTTTGCCGAGTAGTTTCACTGTATTCCGTACACACCTTCACATGATACTCCACGACTTCGTCAGCATTCATACGTTTGCTCCATCTACTGGGAGAATAAAACTGTTCAAGCCACTCCTTTGACTTTCCATCAAATCCTTCTTTTCCATCCATTCTTCCCAGATCTTTACTGTTAGTAGTTTACCTCCACCAGCATTCAGGTTACTTCCCACTTTCCACTCCGTGTGCTCCTTGGCTAACCTTTCTATTTTCGAATGAAACAACCACAGAATTAATAGATGCAAAATATGAATCCGGACAACATTTTTTGCAATATAATCCACAACGACACAGCTAAGAAGGCTCATTTATAATCCAGCAAGTCTGTTCGAGAGGTTGTAAATGGTTACCACATGTATAGCCCCCCTCTTTGGGGTGGGTATGAATATTTTCTGCTACCACACAATCTTGGAAGTCTCTTTTTCTGTGTTTCTTTTTGTCTCTGAGTCTAAAATAGTTTACATCTCAGTTTCAGAGTCTCAAACAAGGGTCTCAGAAGCTCAGCTGTCTCAGATTTTACCATTCATTGCTTATTCTGACCTGCCAATGTGTGCATTCAAAATTACTCCAAAGTTACCCCTTTGTTTTTCCAGTCTTATTCGCCACCAGGGAAGAAGGATGATAAGCTCTCCTTCGACTAGTGATATGTACCAGCAGCTGGCTCTTGACTTCATCCCAGAGTAGTTACACTACATTTTTAAAACTAGTGGCTGAAACTACATGTAGGTCCACAAGAAAAAAAAAAATTATGGCATAATAAAATTTATTGAAGTTGATTCTGAAAGAAGATGCACTGAGCTGAAACACTATGACGAGGGTTGGTGGAAGAAGTTTCCTATGCTTAAATTTCACCTAAATTGCTCTTCAAATAATTATTATGATTTTATTCTTATCCCATGCCATTCCTCGCAACTTGTCGTTAGATAGTTAGAGCAGTTTTCAATTGAGTGTCATAAAACCAAAACCAATGTAAGCACTTTAGCCAATCACAAAGGACACAGACAATTCAGTGAACCAATCAAAGCTCAAAGCAAATACTTGTAGCTGACGCAAATCACAGGAAAATGAGTACGAGTAACAATTGGTTTTGGTTTTACTTCTGATTGAATGAAAAGTAGCACGAGTTTTTTAAGCCAATCGTGTAGCGTAGTTGATGCAAAACCAATTACTTTTCACCAGTCAAATGACAACCACTCTATTGTTCAAGATTTTTCTGACAGACAGTGAAAACATTCATTAGATGAAACAGGGTCAGTACCTAGTTAGCATCACTCATTCATTTACTTAAGCCTGTGTTAAGGCCTGGAAAATAAAAGTCTTGGACAAGGTTGAACAAAAGATCATGATTTGTCTGTGATGAGCAAATTTGTTTTCATTTTTAAATCCCTCTCTGACAGCTAAAAGAAGCAATCTGCTGTTTTTTCCACAAAAGAGTGTGGTTACAATAATTACAAATGAGAAGAACATTATTTGCAGCAAACATGATTACATGTTACTTTGTATAAGCAGACCATTATTTGGCAGTTAATTGCAGGTCACATGGTGGGCTCTCAGCCAATGGAACAGAAGAAAATAAATGCATCAAATGATAATGTGTGTAAACTGTCCTTCCCAACCACAGCCCCTTGCAATATCTCCCTTGCAATCCGCACAAACTCTTATGAACTCTAGTGTACTAAATACAAAACAACGAATGATGACAAATAGTCGAAACTGTAGTGGATAGTCATGGTTAGCCTAAGTAGCACTCCCAGTTTCATAGCCTTGGTATCATAGCCTGAAATCAAGCTCCTAGCTAGTTGGGCTGCAGGACAGCTTGCTGCTGACTAGGCCCGGGAGGAACTTACATATGAAAGGGGTGGGGATGCTTGTCGTCTTGCTTAGGGTGTTCTGGGCAAAACACCGTCATATGTAGCCCATATGTAGCTGTGAAGGTCTCGTTTAGGGTTTCATGCAAAGAAATATCTGGCCACAATGAACAACAACAACCTCTTCCTCTCTTTTAGGGATCAAAAAATCCTGGGCCATGCTGTGATTGGTCTCCTTTAGGGGTTTAATTCAAAATTTCCGACGAGCATACCCAGCCTATTATACACGAAGTCCCCCCCCGGGGGGGAGGGGTTAGGCCTAAACAATGACGCTAAATGATTTAATGACACTGTGATATTAGCCTAATTAAGAGCACAGATTCAACGGTGGTTAGCTCTTAACAGTTTTAAGGGCTAGCCTTCTTATTGGGAACCAACCACTACTGAATGTTTTCAAGATTTGCACGAAAATGTACGAGTTACACACGTTCTCCCGCAGCAAGTTTCCAAGGTGCATTCAGAGTGGGTTACGCCGAAGATCTTCGGTGTGGCCTGAACGTAATACGAAGAAAATTGGGATTATTTGAGCCGTTGGTCGCGTGGCGTGGGATTTAAAAAGCCTTGGCGTATAAACAGCGTATAAACAGCGTGGAATGCATACAAACAGCGTCTTGCGGAATGCACTCTGGACAGCAACTACAGCTTGCTTCTCGCTACGGTTTCCGGGCGAAAAGAGCTGAGAACACAAGCGGATCCTATTTTCCACCTCCTAACCAGTCACTTGACTTGGCTGTCACCCAGCTCTGGATCGCGTGAAAAGGTCAACAATGTAAGAGAAAACAATCTTAAAATTAAAGAAAACTTACCGCGCATAAACTGATTTTGGCTCGATAGAAGCGTCGACTCGCCTCGATGATTTCATAGGACCGAGGAGAACTAGGACGAGTTAAATCGCGCATGTTGCTGATGATAGGGGAGGGGAGGGATGAGACCAAGCCCGCGTTGCCCGCGTCCACATCTTTCATGCATGGTTTCGCGCCCATGATGTTCCCACATGCCGTTTTTTTTAACTTACCATGCAGTAAGGTAAAGATCAAACAATGCACGCCAAACAGGCAACAACAAAAAAGGGGATTACTATGCTCGTTTTTGAGATAAGCGTTATTGAAGAGCATGTTTTTTAGAAGCGTTCGTTATTTTAGAAGCTGCGTTAGTGAAATTTCTAAGATCAGGTAAACGTACCTACTAAAACGCAACGAAGTCTTTGAAGGAAAATTTTGGGGTGGAATCGACCTCAAAACAAACATCCAGTCCAAGATGATGAATAAAACTACCATGATTCCCTGTAGGCATGTCTGATAGAGGGAACTGGCCATTCTCAAAATGTACGCGTATGGGATAAGTTGTCATAGCAACCAGCTAAGATGTGGCGTGGTATATGACCTAAAGCCAGTTGTAAATGAATTCCTTGCTAGAATCTCACAAAAGTCAATAAATCGTTTCATTCGCAGCTGAAGACGTCTATTAATATCATTATGTTAGTCATTATTCTCACGACCCATGTTTTGGGATCATCAGAGTGATAATCGTTTTACTTTACCAGCGGTTGAGAAGCATGAATGCCATTCTCAAACATCTTAATGTCAAGTGCAGCAAAGCGAAATGACAAGGTCTGTTATTAGCCAAAACATTCACGGAATGCCAAATACTAAGACAGATTCCTTTAATACCGGAGTGCTTGCCTTTCAGTGAAGGCTGAAAACAGGAAAAAAGCGAAAACTAAATATGGTCTTTCGTCTGCCATGGTCCACAACTGAAGGCGTGTCTAGTAATCCATCTATTTTGGCCGACGATGAAGCTTGTTTTAATTCCATATACTCACGTACACATGTGCGCACCTCCGGAAATCTGGAAAAAAAAAAGATATCTGTATATTTAATTGGCGAAAAGCGTCTTGAATTAAATCAGCTGATCTCTAGTCTCTTTTATCATAACTGCTATCGCGAAGGTTGACATATCAACAACAAAAGTTGCTTAATACTACTTAACACTTCTCCATGATTTATGAAAAACCAGGATAACGACATTTCCGTGCCCATAAAAATGAAAGTTCCCTCACAAGGGGGGGAGGGGGGGGGGGGGGGGCATGGATGGCCACTAACCTTCCAGGTAGCGCCTTCGATTCGTCGCTCGTGCGTACTCTTTGAGAATTGTACGCTACCGTGCGCTCCTAAATCGTGTTCATAATTCTTTTTTCCTCTTGCCATCAAAATGCACACAAACCGAAAACCCCACAAGCGGAGACCTTTACGGTTTGGAATCTTGTTCAAAAAGACTTAACAACTCAAGTGTCGGGCGAGTCAAAGTGGCACCATACTGACACATTCTCACATCAAGGAGAATTAAAGATGACCAGTTATCCCTTTTTTTTCCAAGATTTGATCTCAATGCAAGAATTTATGACGTTCAATAAATAAATATCACCAATAAATAAATAAATAAATGAATAAATAAATATCACCAGTATTAAAATATAAATAACAGAAAATAATTACACTGTGCAAACTCCACGAGCACTTATACGAAGTCGCACAGAGATATTTTCGAGTTAGTCACTTTGGTAGATCAAGAAAACAGGAATCCAAAAAGATAGTAATTCAACTGATGAATAATTCTATTGTCGTTTTTTTCCTGTTGTTTTCATTTGAAAATAAAACTTTATTTTATAATATATAAATAATAGAAACTTGAAGTCGGCTTTAATATTTTGGCGTTCCTCTTTTAAATTTTCGTTTCGTTTTGAAAACTGCAGATAAGCAATTTTATCATCAAATTATTTTTCTGTATAGCGAGGAACAGGCTATCTGCTGGCTTTCCATATAGATATGCTGTGCTGAATCTGTTTTTTTTTGTGTGTGTGTGGCCATTTCTGGCTTTCCAAATCACAAACTGATTTGCTGAGACTGGGTGGAAACGCCTATCGATGAATGCGATTCCAATGCAAGCGAAAGAGCAGCAGCGTCTAAGTGACACGAACGAGTGAAACGAAATCCATCTCCCTACGGTGACAGCATTGTTGATTAAAAGTCGCCCGGAAGTATGTACTGTGCCCTGATATTTGCTTGAAGGAACTACTATTTCAACAAGTCTACTACTCGTGTTCACGATTACCCGTTTGAAGGAGCCGCGCAGCACTGAGAAATCGCTCCAACACCGAAGCCTCACTGATGCTGTGTTGGTGGTTTGGACAGGCCTATGCCTCTCGCAAAACAGGAAGCAGAAGAAGGAATCGCTGGCGCTGGTAATTGTGAATCGAGACCTTGCCGACGAAGGTCTTGGGAAATTTTCTTTCGATTCTTACTTTAGTACAGGTCGTAATACCTTACCAAATCAAGTGTGACCGCTGTGAATGGGAAATTTTCTCAAATAAATGGATCACATGAAATAATGTGTTACGTGACATGAGCTAGCTAAGGTTATTCAGTGTTCATCATCGCTATTCTAAATCATTGGCAGTGAATCAAGAAAAGATCATTCCTTGTCAAATGAAGACGCGGGGGAGATAAGTTGTCATAGCAACGGCAAAGGTCAGGTTTAATAGGAGGCCAAAGTGTCCGCAGTCAGCATTCATAAATCAAATTCCTCCCTGGAATCTCACAAAGAGGAAAAATTGTTTCATTTGCAGCTGAAGACATGTCCTATTATCATCGTGTAAGTCATTATTCTCAAGATCCATGTTTTAGTCTCATCTTCAGGGTGATAATCGTTCAACTTGACCAGCGGTTATCAAGCATGAGTGCCATTATCTTGATGTCAAGTGCAGCAAAGCGCGTGCAATAATTATGTGGTTCCCAAAAAATTTACGGAATGCGACAAGATAAAACCGGTTCAGTTTAAAACCGCTGTTGTTGCTCTTTTTAGGGAAATGATTCATAAACGCCAGCAAAAAGAAAAAAAAAAAAACGAATACGAGGTACCGACATATCGTTTTCCGAAACTGATTGAAGACGTATCGAATTATCCTGATAATCTCATCCATATTCTGGCCAATGATGAAGCACGTTAATTGGCAGCCAACGGATGTCGAGTCTGTTTATTCCATATTTTTTTTTGTCTTTTTAAAAAGCTATTTATAGTTCTTTTTGTTCCTCGTTCCTTAAAAAGAAACTGAANAATCTCATCCATATTCTGGGCAATGATGAAGCACGTTAATTGGCAGCCAACGGATGTCGAGTCTGTTTATTCCATGATTTTTTTTTGTCTTTTTAAAAAGCTATTTATAGTTCTTTTTGTCCCTCGTGCCTTAAAAAGAAACTGAAATGACATCGAGAGAACCTTTTAATTTGGTTTTGTGTTTAATTATTCATGTAGATATTACTTAGACGGGTCAAAAATGGCGCCATATAATGTCTACGTGATGACCATTTCATCCTGATGGGTCTTTTTTTTTCGATAATTTGTTTTCGATGCAAGAATTTGTAACCAGGAGAAACAAAATACAGTCCAAGCCCTATTAAGCGGCAACCTGTTAAACGGCCACCCCTGCCCCCCCCCCCCCCCCCCCCCCC